AACACAAACACATACACGCACGCACGAGCAGGCGCGCGCGCATGCGCACGCGCACCTCCAGGTGGTCCAGGCGGCGCTTCGAGGACAAGTAGATGCGCTGCGCCAGGTTGCCCCCGTCACACAGCTCCATGATGAGGGCCAGGCGCGCCTTGTCCTCCAGGCAGGCGCCCAGCAGCTTCACCACGTGGGGGGAGTTCCTGGAGGTTTTTGGATTCGGTTTATGTGGTTTTGGGGGGAGGGAGGAAAGGGTCAAGCGCAGATTCAAGGGGCTGATTCCGGAGGTACACCTGGGTGGGCTTTTGAATCACTCGAGCCTACAGAGCATGGGATACCAGAATATGCACGCGCAAGGCTCTTGCCTGAAGCAGGCGCAGAGGGCGACCTCCTTCATGAAGGCCTCGTACAGCTGGTCACTGTCGACTGACAGCAGCTTGACGGCCACCTTTGGTGGGTGGGGGCGGCGAGGGCGAGGCAGAGGTCACAAAAGGGGAGGAGCGCAAATGAGCGCAGGATTTGAAGGGTTTGTGGAGGCCAGGCGGCCTGGGGCAGAAAATGGGATCCTGGTGAGATTTGAAGTGTAATGTGAAGCAATGCGATCTCGGCAACCGGCTGCTGAAGCGGGCCGGGCCAATTGAGGATTTCACCTTGGACTTGTTTGGCAAGGTGGAAGGTGGGCCGCACTAGGCAGGTCACATGCGCACATCTGGCCGGCAGCACGCGTCACCTGGTGCAAACTTAACTTCACCTTGGAAAGCACAAAGCTTTTCAGCATGCAAAACCAGCCCAGAAAGCCCGGATACGATGCAAAACGATCAGTCCTCTCTCGCTCCTTGCCCCCTGGCAGACCATCCGCTCACCTTCCGCCCGCGCCACATCGCCTCGTACACGACGCCGTAGCCGCCCCTCCCTATCACCCTCCCCAGCCGCGGCTCAAGCTCCTCCAGAAAGTCAACATTCAGGGGCACAGGCACCTCCCCTGGAATGCACAGGTGGCCATCACGCAGCAGCCCACTGCTCTCAAAGCTGCCGCTGCCTCCGCCGCCGCTGCCGCCTGCACCGCCGCCCGTGCTCGCACCGGCCAAGCCGGCCACCCTCGCCTTGCATGCGCCGAGCAGGCAGACCGAAAGTCTGTGGGGGTCGACGGCGAGCGCGGCCGCGAGCGCTGCGGCTGCCGGCTTTGGCGTGCAGAGCGGCACCAGCGGCGGGCCGCTAGTGTGCTGCTGCTTCACGGTGTGCGCGTGCTGCCGCACTGACCCGCAGGCCTCGGTCGCTGCCGGGGAGCCTGGCGAGTCGCAGCCGCTGCCGCTGCTGCTGCCGCGGTCGTCGAGAGACCCCGACTGTGCGGCTCGCGCAGCAAAAGGGTTGCCGCGGCTGCTGCCTCGCCGCGCGACGCCCCTCCCCGTGTCTAACCCGTTGCACACGGCGCCTGTGGCACCCGCTGTAGGGCCCACGGCGCTGGCTTCTTCAGTGGCGGCGGCCACGCGGCGTGCGGAGCCCGGGAACGGCAGGCCGAGGGCAGCGCGGCGGCGTGTGACGAGGCGGCAGATGAGGAGCGGATCGAGGGCCTCAGAGGGGAAGGCGTTGTCCTGGAGGCACCCTGCCCAGGTCTCCCACGGCCTGTGTATGTTTTGTAAGGGGGAGCCCATCGGATTCTGTTGTCCTAGGCGAATCCTCGTTCGGCCAAACACGACAAGGTTCTGCCACGCGGACCTTTGGCAAGGGCCCTCACGGCCTTGGCCGCAGCACATCCAATGTTTCATAAAGCGGCGGCAGCGGTGCATACGTAGCAGCGTGACGTTGTGCGAGCAACCCTCACCTGCTTGCCTACGTAGGCAAGCGACGCACCCACCATCAGAAACAGCGTCGTTGCCTCAGGCGGTGCCGGGCCCCCACCTGTTTGCCACCATATCATCCGCCCTCGAGCTCGCCGCCCCGCGGTCCTGCACGCACGCCCCCGCCGCGGCCGTCTCTGCTGCTGACGAACCCGCGCGGCACCTGCAGGCCGCGGTGGCGGCCTTCGTGCCACGGCGCCAGCCGGCGCTGCTGCCGCTGCTGCCGCGGCTGCCAGAGCCGCCGAACCAGGCAGGAAGAGTGTGGAATTTTGCAGGGACTGCCCTGGAAGCTTCCAGCCCGGTCTCCTCAGTCGTGCTCGGCACATTTGCGCCGCCGACCCGCTCCGAAACTGCCGAAACCCCCGTCGGCGCAGCGCCGCCAGCGCCTTGGCCCGCGGCGGCCTCGGCGATGGCGCCAGCGCCAGCCGGCGGACCCGCGTGCATGAGCGGTAGCAGGTGAGCGGGCGGCATGGCGGATACGGCAGTCGGGGAGACGCCGAGGAGGTTTGCCAGCCAGCTGGCGCCGTTGCTGAGGGTGCGAGCAATCTGCGGCCCGACCGCGGGTGGCGCGCGCGGCGGCAGCGGGGGAAGAACGTCGGATTTGAGATTGAAGGGCTGGCGGCTGCTGCCGGCGCCGTCGGCGCCGCCGGAGGGGCCCCACTCCACATCTCCGTGGCTGTGAGGGCGGCTGGACTTCTTCTGCAGCAGCTGCTTTTCATACTGGCTGTCGCGCCTGCGACGCCGGCGCCGGCGGAGAACGAACAGCACGCCAGAGGCGATGGCCAGGACGGTAAGGGGAAGCGCTGCGCCCACGGCTACCGCTGCAGAAGTCGGCATCGGCCCGACGCCGCCTCTGCTGCTGCCGCCGCCGCCGTTGCCCGGCCCAGCGCCGCCAGCGCTGAGCGGCGCGCCGCTCGCCGCGCTCGCGCCTGGCGGCGGCCCGCCCACTGCGCCACCCTGCTGCTGTTGCTGCTGCTGCGGCGGCGGCAGCGGCAATGGCGCGCCGCTGTGGCCACCTCTGTCCGTGCCGGCGGTCGGATCGGCGGGCAGCAGGACGCTCATTGCATCCAGGTCGCTGGAGTTTAGCGCCGCGGCGTCGTCCACAAACAGCCGTTTAGGCCAGTCCTGCGGGATTGTTCCTGCCAGCGGTGCCGTCCCAAAGCAGCAGTATGTCATCGATACGCCGCAGACCCTTCCCTCGCCAGCTGGCGTCGGCCGGCAGTACGACCCGGGCGGCAGCTGCCCGTCCCCCGCGCCGCCGCCTCCGCCCGCGCTCTGTGGCTGCTGCTGTTGCGCGACGGCGGCCTCGGCCGCGCCAGGCGGCGTCGGGGCGGCCTTAGGGGGCGTGCCCCATGCGAGGGCGCCGGACAGGAAGGCAGGCATGCGGGGGTTGGCCCGCGGTACGGCAGCGGCGTCCGTCCCGTCACTGCCTCGCCCCGCCGTGCCACCGCCAGCCCCGCTGCTACCGCCGTCGCCACTGTCGTTGCCCGCTGCCGGCGCACCCGGCAGGTGTCGCGCCTCGAGCCAGCTGTAATCTTTGGTCGAATTCATCTTTGTGAACAAGCGCCGCGGCTCAACGCTAACGGTCGCCTGGAACCCTGTGAGCTGCGGTGCGCGGGCGTTGCCGCCCTCGGGGCCGTTGCCGGGCGCGACGAGGGTGCCAGCGCCGGGGGCGGCCCACATGTTGAGGCGGAAACGGGCGCCGAAGACGCCGGGGAGGCGGGGGGTGACGTTCCACATTAGGCTGTCACAGCCTGCGTTTTGGTGGCGGGGACACGTCCGAGCAAAATGCTGCTTGAGGCAAGGTCAGGATTTGAGAGGCTGCGTGGGTTTGGAGGAGGGGTCGCGCGAGCGGGCGTTGACGCAAGCGCGCACACGTGCATGCAACACAGCCATCCCTGGGTGTCTGCCAACGTGGCAGCTATGGGGGGGATTTACGCAGCCTGGGAGCAGCAAAAGTGGCAAGATTGTGTTTTGAGCACCATTTTTGAGCCTCATTCGCAACCACGTGACCCATACTGTGTGTTCCCCGAGCCCATCAAGCTATCAAACATTTGCCTCTAACAGTGTGACATAGTCACGCATCGACGCGGCGCTGGCAGCCACGCACCCACGGCCGGCGACGCGTCGCTACAGGTCAGGCGGAATTGCACCATGGCAAGATCAGCCGAGGCGTCCTCTGAGACGTCCTGGTCCGGCATGTCCTCGGGCCCGTTGAACCAGTACGAGATCACGATCTGGTCCAAGGGCACAGCACCCTTGGATGTGTCGTTCAGCGTCACCCTGCACCAATGGGAGCACAACCGATAGACATGTGATACATATACGCACCGGCTGTGCTTGCAAGACAACGCAGCGTGCGAGAGCAGGTGTGAGTTTGAGTTAAATTGAGTCGGAGTCAGAGAGTCATAAGGCTCCTCTGGTTCCATGCCGCCCAATCCTGATCGAGCTCACCTAAAGGAGAACTTGTTATAGTACATAGCAAAGAGATCAGCAATCAGGTCACCCTTGCGCTGCTCTAGCCCGATTGCAAGAAATTCCACCTAGGGAATGGGGAGGGAAGCGGCAGCAGTTGGCCCTTTTCGAGCTTGTTCTGGAGCAAAGCAGGCCCAGCAGTCAGCCGCCAGGCACGGGCTGCACCACAATCAACGGCCGCTTCCGTGCAGTGGTCGATCGCTGCCCATTATCTGTCTCCGAGCACCGCGGCCAGCCCCAGGGTTGAGTGTTTGGGAGGGAGGGGGCCGGTGTGGGGGTTATGCAGGGGAGGAGGACGACCAGTCTGCTGGCCGACCTGGAGCTGTTGTGGGTAGTCTGTGAGGGCAGGGACGGCCACCTCAGCAGGCGCCTGCTGCTGCCTGCCAGCATCGCCGCTGCCTGTGGCGCCGAGGGGCTGCATGGTAGAGGTGGGGAGGGTGCGCATTGCAAATTCAGTGAGCCAATTGTGGGGTGTGAAGAGTCCTTCAACTCCGCAGCCTCTCAAATGCATGAGGCCAGGGTGCTGATGAGCCGCCAGCTCTTGAGCTTGAGTGCAGCAGCAAAATTGGTGAATGACACATTCAATTTGGCAGGTGGCACATCGGGCTGATCAACACGGTCAAACTGCACTTCAGACTGCAATTGCGGGCCTGCATGTGCGCGCACACCCACCCAGCAGAACTGGTTGTTCAGGAATAGCGCATCCAGCGGAGCGATCCCCAGAGGCGCTGCGGCGCTCGCGTTTTTGGGACCCGGGTGGCCGACAAAACTGATCTGGACGTCATCGTCAGGGCCGGCCACCATGTTGGTGGTGCCTGCCAGATACATGTGGGTGGTGGGGGTTGTGGTTTGTGGTGGTGGTGGTGGTAGTGGTGGTCAGCAGGCGTGGTCGTCACACCTGGAGGCAAGCACAACGCCTGGCTGTGGCAGTCCACAGTCCCGCGGAGCACTGCCCGACCGCCTGCCGCGGCTCACTGAACACGGCAACGCGCTGTTGGCGACGGACGTCCGCCGATGAGTCCGCCACTGGCGCCTGAGACGGCTGGTTGCCGGTGCTGAGGACTTCGTCAAAGATGCCTGCAGGGACAGAGGCATGACGAGCGGTTTGGAAACCAGGAGGGGTCATGATGAGTCGCGGGCATACATGCCTGGAGGCGTGAGCTCACGATGGGAGGCACACACATGTCTGGGGTTATCGAGGAGCCAGCAAAGGAAGAACTCTCTTGACTCATGAGTTGGCCCAGTGGGAAGGGCAGCTGGCCGAGCCGCCGCCACGCGAGCAATCCCAGGCCGGCCCAGCAGGTTGCCCTCGCAGCATTCCCGAATCACCTGGGTCTCCGTAGATATCCCTTTTCAGCCTAATCAGCTCTCCCACCTGGAACTGCCACCCCAGCACCCAGCTGCTGACGTTCACCTGCCGGGCAGGGGCGGGCACGCACGGGCGCAGGGCCGAGCAGCACGGTGAGTGCGGGCGGGGCGGTGCTGCTTTTCTGCTGCAGCTTGGACAGCTTTGGGTTGGCGCAAGACCCCTTTTGTTGCAGCCTCTATCGCACATACAGCCGGCAGGTGGTGGTGGCCGCTCAATGCAGGGCACGGTGCTTTTCCGTCACCACCCCCTGCAGCAAGCGATTAGGCAGGGCTTGCCTACCCGAGGATCCTGGGAGAGGATTGAAAAAAGCCCCGAGAAGGTGGGTGCCTTATTTGAGGCGGGCCGTGCCGTGTCGCCCAGGCTGGCGCCGTACTGGATGGTGATGCTGCAGATCTGGGCACGCGCCGCGGGCGGCGCCACGCACAGCAGCGCCAGCAATGCGAGCAGCAGCAGCCGCAGCCGGGGCGGCTCGCGAGCCACGTGGCGGGGGCCCGCGCGCAGCAGCGGCGTGCCGCACGGCGCATTGGCAGATTCTGCGCTGTCAGGGAACTGTCTTTTAATTGGAGGGCTCTCCCCGAGGCAAGCGACGCTGCTGACAGGGGGGCGGTGCTGCAGCTGCTGCATACGGCGACTGCCCGCGGCTGCCACAACCCCGGCGCAGCTGCTGCGGCGCATAGGTTCACGCGCTGCAGCTGACAGAGCCTGGGTGGCTGTGCATCTCCAGTGGCACGCTAACCACTACCACGCTGCCGCGCCGCGGCGTGCCAACCCGCAGCCGGCGAGCGTGCTGCGAGGGCGCAGCGCGTCTAGAGGCTGCACCTCAACTGCCGCAGGGCCGGCCGTGCCGAAGTCTGCAGCCAGTAGGGTGAATCTAGCGTCTGTCCAGCGCACAGCGTGGGTCCAGTTGGGTGCCTTACGGAAACGGGTCAGCGCGACGAAGACAAGGTCGTTATCCTCGGACACCCGTAAAGGAACAGTGAGGCCTTCAGGCTCAAGACAAACCGTACTAATAATCGTGATTCCGCATGTCGAAAAAGCTGGGACGTTCTCCAGGCCGCCGATCGGCCAGCCTTGGTACGGAGGTCACCCAACCGTGTCCGGGCGGCTCGCAATGCGGTTCAGCTGATCGGTCTCAAACAAGTTTCTACTTTGATAGCATGCCGTGGGCGGTTGAAACGGTCTATGGCTCGCTGAAATCAGCGGCGGCGGCGATGCTGAAAACGCTGATCGAACACAGTGCGAGGACAAGAGGCAGCACAAAAGACGGACACGAAGCCAGAGCACTTGCATGCACGAAGACAGCACGTTGATTTCGAACATGGATACTGCTTCTGTTCATGTGTGCGCGGTTGATTACAGGACTAAGAGATGGTGGGAGGCGCCCCTGAATGAGCGGTAGACAGCAGCAGCACCGTGCAGATATCACAACGGTTGGGGTACAGGGTCCAACATGAATTGCCAGGCTCAGACCGCGCCACTTCGCATGACCACATGCGATCAGTGAAAGTGAGGTGCTGGTGCTGTGTCATCCCCCTGCAGTGGCCTCGACAGCCGCGCCGTCGCCGCCGTCGCCCCTGCCCCTGCCTCTGCCGCGGCCTCTGCCCCTACCCCTGCCCCTGCCGCGGCCCCGTCGACCGCCACCCCCTGGCGAACCGCCTGCTACCTCGTCGCCGCCGCTTGCTGCAGCGTCCCCACCAGCCGCAGCCCCTGCCGCTGCCACTGGCGATGGCCGTGCTGCGACTGGCGGGGCTGCCGCCACCGGCTGAACCTCAGCGGCGACTGCATCCGCCCCCGCAGCGCGGCCCCGGCCCCGTCCGCGCCCTGGCCGGCGCCCGCGCCCGCGCCGCACCGCACCGGCTTCCACACCGTTCCCCACAGCGGGCCTGGCGGCGATGGGAGCAGCTGCCGCCGCCAGAGCCGCCGCTGGCGGCAGAGCCGGCTCGCTTGCGCCCGCGTCCGCGGCGCCTGCGTCCGCGGCGCCCGCGCCCGCTGCCTCGGCCGCGCCGCTGCGGCGGGCGGCGGCAGCGCGCGCCCGGGCTTTGGCTTTGCGAGAGCGCGGCTCAAGGGCCGCGGCAGGCCCTGCTGCGGGGTCAACATGTTCGGCCCTTGCGCCACCACCACCGGAACCGCTGCCCCTGCCCCCACCGTCGCCGCCGCCGCCCTCCCCTCCGCCAGCACGCTCCGCAGGCGGCCCCGCTCCACCGCTGCTGCCGGCCTCGGCGCCGTCTGCTGCCGCCGCCGCCGCCGCCGCTGCTGCTGACTTCTTGGGCTTGCGAGGCTTGGGCTTGCGTGGCCTCTCGCTGCCCTGCTGCTGCTGCTGCTGCTGGTCGTGCTGCTGCCGTTGCTGCGGCTGCTCGGCTTCCCCAGTCGGCGCAGCGCTGCCGCGGCCACTGCCGCCCGCTGTGGCGGTGCCGTCAGTTGGCGACGCCGCTCCCGCTGCCGCCGCAGGAGCACCTGCTGTCCTGGCAGCCGCCAGGTGCCCCTCGCTGCTGCCGCTCGCGCCCGCCTGCTGCGGGGCCGCTAGTGGCTGCTCTCTTCTAAGAAGAGTGACCTTGGCGCCGCCAGACCCTGGGGCTTTGGGCCGCTGGGGCATCCACAGGTGTGACACCGCCTGCGACGCCGCAGCTGACGCGCCTGCGGGCTCGGCATTGCCATTGGCTTGGCCAGCGGCGGCTCCACCGGCGGCCCCAGCGGCGGCGCCGTCGGCGCCGCCGCGGCCCTTGCGTCCTGCGGCGCGGCCGCGGCCGCGGCCGCGCGTCACAGCCTCCTGTAAGCTGAGACCGGCCAGCTGCTGCGCGGACGCGGCTGCCTCATCCGCGACGGGCTGTGGCTCCGCTGCAGGCGGGCGCGGCTTCTTACCGCGGGCACGGCCGCGGCCACGGCCACGCG